TACAAACAGTTCCAAACAGTATTAGACCCTTAGCCATGGATGTTTTAACAACTCTAAGACTGCTGGCTATTGGGTTTCTGAGCTCTCTGGAAATGTTTTCTAAACAGATTTGATGAATTTTTTTTTGAACAGATCCTGCAGACAAGCCGTTTGCCGTGTTCCTCACCTACAATCTTCCATCGACTGGCTTTATTCGCTTATTTGTGCCACAGGCCCTGCAGGGTATAACCAGGAGGACACATTACATCGATAACAGCACTTCTCTAGTGAAGCGTCACTCATGTGCGAATTTCATTCACAATTTTCAATTTCATTCACTTCTATTCACAATTTTCTTTTTTTATTCTTCTTTTTTTACTTTTTTGAATTACGTTTATTTAACTATACTTTTTATTTTTCAATGTTCGATCTACAAGAGATTACTAAATAAGCTATATGCATTAGGCCTTGATGAGCAATCTGATTTTGCCAAATGTCTTAGCATATGAGTGTAGTAGTATAGTATGAGCCTTCCACGTGAGTGCTTGTCCTAATTTTGGGCATCGTATGACTATTGAATCTGAGGTTTCAAGATCGCTTGCAATACGTCGTACTGGTCTACCGCACTACCCAACCGATTGACACCAATATGCGTAATTCAATAAGTTTGGGATCCAATCTCACAGGTAGAGTGAGCTGTCGAGGGCAAGCTTGAAGCAGTGGCAAGCAAAACAGTAGCCACATCTTGCTCAGTTACTGAAACAATTGAGTTACCTTAATCTTCATTTGAAGGATTGAATCTGATGTATGAATGTAGCAATGTGCTGTGTTTCCTGTCGACAACTCAACTTGCCGAACAACTTGGAAGACCTATCGCAGGCAGTATTTTCTACGTGAGTTCTAGCTTTGAAGAAAAGGCGATGTGGTCACTCTTGAAGGGGGGACAAGAGCCCTGAAGAATTTGAGTCCTCCCGAGTCTTTCTTTGATACCCTCAAACGAGGTCACGCCTAATGTGGATGCAGACCTTTTGAGACCCCACCTTAGCTCTTCACAGCCCCAGTAAATACAGTAGATGTAGCCCCTTTTCAATTGATTACTAAGGCAGTGTAAAGTATGAATGTAGGAGAGTAAGCTCATCTGTAAGGTGAGGGGTGGGGAGTGTAGGGGCTTGTGTATAAGGTTTTCAGGCCTTTCTCGTCAATTTCGTAAGGGAAGCCTACGCTGCTTTTGTAAGGGATCTGGGTGTGAAGGTTGAAGGGACTGTAGGGAAGGGAGTATCAGTACTACGTACTCAATACTGTCAAAATATAGTACAGTAATAGTTAGTTTTTCTTCTTTTACCACAAATTATAATAGGTAAAGCAAAACAATTTTAGATCACCACGAATAACACCATGTTCCAAACAGTTGAAGTGAACCAAACGTCTTCAACACCTCTTTGTTCACTTGTTCAAGCATTACTTGTTTCTTTAATATATTTCATACTCTTTAGATATGAGTAAATAATTGGTTGGATGTTTAAAAAGCCTATTCGTTCAGAATGCCAATTGAGGTCTTGTAGATTTGTAGATCTGATTTTCGGAATTTAAAAATAAAATCCACAATGATATAGCTACAAAAATACAGCTGTACGAGTCTCAGACAATGGATTCTTGTGGAAAAAATTTGTATCAGTTGCAACGGCAGTTATGCCAAAACATGACCTGCACACAATGAACTTTGGCCACGCCTTTTCTCAATTGAGACATGCCATTTTCTTCCGCTTTCATCACCACAACCTCTGATCACGACCCCTCGCAACTGCTCTGTCGTTCCTGCACACTCTTTACGGAAGTTGATGGGTATATTACCAATTTGAGAAAGCTAAAAACCATATTCTAGGACCGAGTAGTTACGAGAGTGATTGGGAAATCATTGCGACATGCTTTATGATTTTTATTAAAAAGTAAATCGTAAAAAAAAAACAAAACATTGCACAATCCACTGAGGTAACGAGTAGGTAGGTATTATGTACATGGTAAGGGAATCAGGCTTTCATCCACGACACGGGTAGCATTTCTGAAAATATATAAAACTAGTGTAATTAACCATGTTGGCTAAAGCCTAATTATATAGAGAAACTATCGTTAAATATATCTCACCGGTAAATCCGCAGTACGTTTCTTTCTCTTACGATTGAGATCCGGTGTACAGATATTGCAATCCTGCTGAAATAAACGACAAACTAAAGTGAATACCATTTTTGCTCCAAATTTTACCTTAGAGTTACCCCAAAACTCCCACACTTTTCTAAACTTTCAATTTCAAGGTATAACTTTCATAAAAAAGAAACTTACGAATAGGTTCCGCTTGACCCGATGCCGACATTCAGGAAAGGCTATACAGTTTTGCTGCAAATACAAGTATTAACTTATCCTCGCAGTTAAAATGAATTTTTCTGAGAGACTGAGTTCACGAGAATACAGATTTTACGTTCTAATACACATAATCTGCATCCCTACGAACTTCAGACGCTGTTGGCAAAGTGCTCTTGTTGGCAAACGTAATCGATATCCATACTTTACACTTGATTGTGCACATGTGCATAAGGGAATAAACGAATTCAAGACAAACCTCTGATGCGTTTATGGTAGGCGATCCGAAGTTTCTCTTTACTCTCTTTCCGTCAAAACCACTGCCGCACCGCTGACATTTCCGGCGTTTAAAAGTCTGAACACTAATTGATGCGAAGGAATTGTTTACTATGCGGAAAAACGTTAAATTAAAGTCACTGGTTTTCTTTTTCGAAATTTTTCATTCAATACATCTATTTCTGAAATGGAGTAGCCAGGTAGACACGAGAAGAGTACTATTCAAATTTCGATGTTCAGAATCTCCGGCTTCAAGAATAGAGGCAACTGCCAAGCAAATCTAAGTCAAGACTGAGATTTTGTCCGGACTTCTGTCTTTTTGGAGTTTTATAACAATGCCCAACCTCTCGCTTGACTCGTGTGTTGTGGTAGACCTTCTTGAAAATGGCGTACTCCACCTCATTCAAGCAGTCATCCGTCTGATCACACTTGCCCTGTTTACGACGTGGTGATTTGTCGTCATCCTGAAAACATAGCGCTTAAAGGTCGATGGCGTTGACAAAAATGGATTCTGACTCCAGTTCTACAGCTTCTCTTCTATAAGGGCAACCCAATAGACGAGCCACGTATAGAAGAAAAAAGACATCTCCAAATGGATGCTCAGTTTCTTGAAGAGAGCCAAAGTAGTGTAAAGAAAGCGACTACCATAAGCTCAATCTTCAACAAAGGAAAACCCACATGAAAGCCTAGCTTATATCCAGCTCTGCGTCGAATGTCGGCGATCGCTTCCGATAAAGTCATTCTGGGAGGCGGCTGAAATAGGTACTAGGGTGAGCTTGGTACCAACTATTAAGGCGCAGTGTCCCCCATACCTCATCTTCAGACTCTTCTGTTGAATTCGTAGACCGCTTCTTACGACTCATCAACGCCAGAGTAACCCATGCTGGACATGGTACGCAGCCCTGAACATACCCTTTCGGCCCTTCATTCAGAATGCCTTGATGTTACTATGAACCCATGAACCTACCGCGCCGGCGTCTGGAGAGAAGAACTGACGCTTTTGACGGATGTGCTGCTCTTCGTGTTCTTTCATTGCTTGCTTATGAGCTGCCACCTCCTGAAATTGAACGACATCCTTGCATCCTCTCGCGAGGCCATAGGAAACCTTCCTCACCTTATGGTACTGCTCCACCCTCTCTGCATGTCGCTTTCGTCGTTTCTTCTGGGCAAGTACACATGCTGGGAATTTCATACAACCACCGGGACCGCCTGAAGTCTCTTTTTGATACTTATGTTTGATACTTATTTATCTGACTGAAGGACTGAGTCAGTGACTCAGGAGTGCTCGTCACTCTAAGAGTCGGGAGTAATATGGGAATCGGGAGGGGTTGCGATCGTTCACGCGAGGCTGCCACTGCCGGGATAAGAGCCTACTTCAGATGATCCTTCTTGAAAAATATCTCTTACGATTCCAATAATTTTTTAAGCATAACGTGGCCGTCCCTGTGCCGCTAATGTGGTACATATATGCTCCTTCAGCTGTCACCTTTAGGCAAGAGCAAGATTTTCTTCATTCCTCACATAGGGGAATCAATGAAGCCACTATGAAGTAAATTGGCAGTTGAACGAACCTCCTTCACCCATAGTTTTACTGAGTAGCTTGACAATGTCAAGGATTCCAGACGGATTGTAAGCTTGTCGTTTCATTCTGCTCACAAGGAACTCATCCACTTCACAGTTGGGACTCGTGGCACGTTTATCCCGTCGCCGGCACTCCTGAAATTTAGGGGTTCAGCACTTTGTCCGTTCCTCTAAGTCACCAACACGATGCACTAAACCACTTCGTGGCCAGGGTCCTGCCACTGTGATTCGTTTCCCAACACTGTAATAGGCTCAGGTTTTGTATACCATGTGCGAAGCACCAACTGGTTGTTTTGAAAAGGGTAACTGTGGCAAATATCATTGTAGATTTCTTTCCTATGAGAGTCTGAGTCCCTTATGGGAAAGATCCACAAAGTTTCTCAGGAAATCAAGTTCGACAAAAATATGTTTCCCATCATAATAGGAGACGTGCACCTTATGATTTCTCGAGAGAAATCAGGTTGGTCTCCGACTAGAGTCCAAGATGCTTATGTTTTTGAGTTGTTATTCAATCAATATCCACAAACTTCAAAAGGAATCGGACCCACGTCTATCTCAGCTTCTCGCTTCTTCCTTCCGTAATATCCTCCACTGCATGGTTCACAGTATTGCGATTCAATATTTCTTCTAGCTCTTCGTGGTGCCAGCATGCATTGCGGGTGGGGGAGACACTAGAAATCACCATCATTAATTTACCTTTTACTCAATCGTAGAACTATTGAGGGGATCGAAAGTACTACGACTTCGTATATGTAAACAAAGATTTAGAAAATTGAAACTAACCCCTGCCCGTTTCGTTCGAAGATGTGCTGGCAGAATTCCAACAGGGGAGACAGGTGCTGCTTGAACGGCAAAGGGATTGTTGATGCTTTCTGTTGGCTGAAGGTACGTGCAAGGGACGCAATCAAAGGAACGTTTCGTACGTTTTGCGATCGGACGACCATTTATACATATGGAACACTGAAAATTCAGATTAATTGTTGAAAACTTCTTAACTTCAATTCAGCCGATTACAGTTATTATCATAGATGGAATACTTTTCCAGGCAACCAGATTGTTTCGGCAAAAATGAAGGGAAGTGGATTTCAGATCTGCTGTATACCTACCCTAACCCTACCCCCGATACCCTCTGAAGTGCTGAAGCCCTAAAATTTCAGAAGCGCCGTCGACGTGATAAATGTGCCGCAAACCTCAATTATGGAGTGGATGAGTATCCTCTGATACAACGCTCCATCTCTCTCTCCTTTACAACTCTGAATGGGTTCACTACTAACTGCTTGGTAGCACTGCAGAAAATGCTCAGCAATGTTAGCGGAATACAGTAAACCAAGTGGAATACAGTAGTGATGGAACCAAGGACTGATATTAAGAGCTACTGCACAGTTTCACTTAAGCCCTTTCTCCTCTGAAATTTAAAATGAGCGGCTTATCCTGCGAAGATCGAGGAACTTACACTACTCGTTTTTAGAAAAAAATTCACAAAACTGACTCCGCTTCGCTTCACTCTTCGAGCTCGGCGGTCCTCCTCATATAGCCGTCCAGCACGGGGTGGTGCCTCTACGCTATCCTGAAGTAGGAAATTTCTTACCAAAGCATCATTGACCACCGGATAAGTAACGAACGAAGTAGTAAAAGAAAGTTCTAATAACATAATGACAACTAAACTGTAGGAACCTCAGACTCGGTGACGATTTTCACTTTACGAGTGATCTTCGTAGGAGTACCAGCGGCACGAGCGGGTTCTTCGACTGTTGCGGCTGAATGAACTTCTATGGAAGAAGCCAATATAGATAACAGCCATCATTTAGTACTACCTGGAGCTTGGGCACCAGGTTGACAGTGTAGAGCATCATGTCGTTTGGCACGTTTCCCCAACATTACTCTCTTACGGCAGGGGCAGGTTGGACAAGCTCTGGATTATGGATCATGGGAGAAGTATAAAAAATAGAGTATAACAGAGGAGTTTGGAGAGTAAGAAGAAAAAAGGATGAAAAAGGCTTCGGGTAATTGCAAAATAAATATTCATGGATCATTTGTATACTCACCTCAAACAAGGAGGTACCGTAGCCAGACACCGCACATCTGGCAAAGGAATTGCTGGGCAACAGGGAAGTGGTGGTGGCTGTGGTGGACAGCATGGCTTCCCCTGATTGCAGCATGACGGATTTTGATAGTAGCAGCAGGGTCGGGCACAACCACAATCTACATAGCATAGATTTTGACAACCTCTTATATGAGCCTTTATCAAAAACCCTCACTTCCACCAGGACATTGATTGCAAGGCGTTCTTGGCGGTGGCGGCTCGTTTTCACAGCATGGCGTAGGCGGTTCTGGTGGAGGTGGAGGAGGTGGAGGTGGTGGTGGAGGTGCAGGAGGAGTTTGAGGTGGACAACATGAGCGAGGCGGATTTCCTGGTGGAGTTACTGGTGGCTGAAATAGAAATTTTAAAGTGAAAAAGTAGCGATCGTGTCATGTTCCTTGTAATAAGGGGTGATTATTCTGATGAAGATCTACCCATATCAGTGCTCAGTCTGATCAAAAATTACAAAATTATTACACGTGGAGTACACCTACCCCTGCTCCTTCTCTCGGAGGCTCTTCGTATTCTTCTTCTTCAATCTCTGGTCGTTGCCCTCTGTAAGTGAGTCGTTTCAGAAGTATGATTTGTGTAGGAAGTGGGGGCAAACTGTGAGTTGTCATTAGTTTTTGGAACAAATTGACTGGACAGCATTCGGTGGGTAACGAGTACTTCTGCGTAGTTCTACTGGCGGCGTATGAAGTGTGGTCGCCTACAAGGGTCGGAATATGGAATGAACGATCGCTACGATGCGATCGATACATATCTATAAGCAAAGCCCTTGGAATCTTAAGCAACAGCTATACGGATTTGAATTCCCCTTTCCGTTGTTGGAGAAAATTCTGACTAGGAAATGTACTGCTACCTCAAGTACAGTACCTTCGGGTGTCAGTAGCTCATACAACCTTATTTCCCGGAAAGAGTGGCCGAGATTCCCCGTTTTCAAGCGTTTCAATTGTGTTTTATTTCGCATCTGCCAGTACTTTATGAAGTACTCATAGAAAGCCCCATCGTCTACGGTCTTCTGAACTGACATGAGAAGGTTTTGTAATGGAGCACTTACCTGCAACACGGATTGGGACAACAATCAGGGGTTGCAGGACAGCATGGCCCATAGGCCGGCTGACAACAGGGTTTCGGTGGCGGAGGTGGTGGACAGCAGGCAAGGGGTAGCGGAGCATTACCACAGCACTCTGGAAGTAAGAAATAGTAAAATCAACAGTAATACTTCTGGTACTAATGCTGCTTCGGCTGCTTCTGGTGTTTTCAGACTGGCACCCTACGATCACGTGTCTATGTATGCACTTTTGTTAGTCTCATTGATTCACGCAACCAGTCTAACTCAAAAATAGGTTTCAGCGATCCCTGAACATGTCTGTGGCGAAGTTCCATCTTGACGTTGTAATTAATGGAAGGCTATAGGTGGACAACTTTTTTGAGGCCCGTAATGTGTTCCCCATGCACAACAAGCCCTTCCGAAACCATCTGGTTTACCATACGGACTTCTTCTGACATCTCTGGACTGAGTTGTTCGAAGACGTAAAGATTTGAGACCTCTTTTCAAAATCTGTCATAAAAAATCCTACTTGGCCTAATGAAAGAATATTTGTAACCTTACCACTACTACAGCACGCCCGACCGGGGAAGAGATCGCATCCAGAGCATCCGCAGGAACAACGTTTTCGCCGAGTGGTCCTGTAACAGATTCTACTGAATGGTCACACTCACTGCCAAGTTTAGTAAAGCTCCAGAACTCTGAAGGATCGAGCAATGCTGCTTCACAGTACTCCTAACATTTGCTCGTTCATGCTTTAGGGTTCGTTCTATATCATAATTTGAACGGATAGCTCTTCGCCTCATACACTTGTGCACACGTTCAGGAAGGACCGGGCTGAGGTCCAAAGGCATTCTCATCCGTACACATTATTTTAAACTTGACTTCGCAATATCGCTGGTTCTTCCCCGAGAAATTGTTTCGTCGTTACGGTGTTTTTTTTTTGTTGTTGGCCGAGCGAAGAGCCATACGCGGCAGCTAGCACGCGGATCACCCGCAGCCCCTTCCCCTCCTCCCCCACTAGTCCCACCTACGGCCCATATGCCACTCCTTCCCACACTTGGTTTCTCAACGACCTTCACCATTTCTCGAGGGGAAAGCCTGTTGTTGTTGAGGGTTATGATTGAAAATGGAGTTCAGACGAATAGTTCTTCGAGACATCTTCAACCGCTCCACCCCACCCCCCATCTTCCTTACATACGCGATCAATAGGCTACCCGAAATTTTCGACGAGATACAAGTTGTGGGCGAAATATGCATGACTATAGCTTCAAGTACTTGGTTTGTAGTTTTTAAAAATGAGGTTTTTTTATGTGACGAGAAACTCTTCGCTGTGACGAGCTATTATAATAGATGATGTCGGTGGAGAAATGCGGGTCCAAATTCACAGCATCTATGCCTTTTATTTAGGCAACAAGCACCGGAATGTGGAAACCGACTCGTATCAACTCTAGTAATCTTCACGAGTGAGCTGAATTCTTACCTCACAGTCAGTGGTATCAGATTAGTCTCATTGCTGATGACAGCATGCAAGGGATGATCGAAGGAACGGAGATGTGACTCCCACTTCACTGAAACCCAGCATTTATAGAAGACATGCCATTAATTTTTATTACCGTACCTTTATTTGTGAGAACCAAATCAGTGTGGTCCTCAGAGATCTCATCCAGAGTGACTGCCAGAACAGCAGTGATGACCATGGCAAATACGGCAGAGCCGTATGCCCGCATCATCGTTAAGGCAGTTCACTGAAATCCGATAATGATGGCATCTGTGCCTTCGTTTGTGTAGATAAAAGGCATCGAGTTCACGCGCGTAAAATCAATGTCTATCTGTCTGACATGTAAGAAGTCAATTCAGATTATCGGCGATTTGGAAGTAATCCCGCAGGCTTTATGAGGAATGTACAAGCGGCAAAAGAACTCGGAGCTATTTATCTAAAACCTGCAAATTATCTTAATAGATGGGATTATCTCAAAGGTTAATGAAGGAGAAATCGAACACGAGTCGCGTCGAGGTCAGTGGCGAGAGTGATATTCGTCAAGGCGGGCTACAGCTGAAAGCAGGCTGAAACAAAAGCCGGATCTCATCTCTTCGGGAGGAATCCACAACTGATAGCAAAGGTGTTGCGCGAACTTTTGTCGTCGCCGCTAAAAACCGGCTCTCAGATCGCCCCTGCGGCTAGGGTCAACCGGCCGGCTAATCCGCTTCCGAAACCGGTTGACTGGAAATAGTCCGAGAAAGATTATCATGCATGCTTTTTGATAAGGTGCCACCAAACTTCATCATAAAAGAAATTCAATTCAACATTATCAGGATGAGCTTAATTGACGATTATTGCAATGGGAAAGCTATGAGTAAGGATAATGTGTTTGGTAGGGACACTGTAGGGTAAGAAGTTATGATTACCAGGAAATTGTCTCTGACGAACATTTTCAGCAGGGATCATGACCCTGTAACTCTCAGTTGGGTATTGGAAATGACCTTTACTGAATCTCTACGAAACATACCCAATATGAAATCGTAGAAGGCATCGTGTAGGAAGGCCTTAGAGACCGTCAACATTTACGACTCTCGATAAATTTAGTTACCCTGTTCCTAGTAGTATTCTTCGCTAACCCTCCGACATCAGTAGAACTCTAGTCCGACCAGGATTTCGGCTATAGTCATCTTCTCCGAACCCTGTATAAAATCAGAGTGTAAAACGAGTGCCCAGGCGACGGTTTTTGAGGTGAACAGCCGGAACGTTAGTTGAATCAGGGTTGTACTATGCGTATAAGGCTACCTGATCGGCAGTTCTAAACTCGAGACATGTCCACTAGCACGTCCTGAGTTTGATCTCCACGACGGAAGGCATGAACAGAAGAACTTGCCCTGTTTAGTCCCGAGAATTTTCCTTTTCGCGCCCTGCTCTACTTTTCGTGGGAATCTTATAAGCACGAAAAAAATTGGTCGAGGAGAAAATATCTCGGCCAATCAGTTCTTTTTTCTTCATTTCCGTAATGTTCACTAACAGCATTCTTGCACATGCAATTTTGTATTACTTATTAATGCAGTCAAACAATTCTGTTATTTGGATGCAAATATAAGCATTTATTAGAAATGTGCAAAAACAATTTACAAAGAAAGAAAAAGAGCTCAGACGAAAACGACTGCAATAAACGAGTGGCTGAAGAACGAGAACGAACGTATGGCAAAGGTCACGAAAGACTCAATAATCTTCGTCATCGGAATCGAGGTTGTTGCGGCGTCGATCGAACTAAAATATTGGTCCTCAAGTTGAATAAGGCAAACACTTTTGAGAAACAACATTTAAGCATTAACCAATTTAACTTCAAACGGAAGTCGCTCAGGAATTACTTGACCAGTAACAAGGTTTCTCAATAATTACGATCGTAGCCTCCTACCTTATTTGTGGTCATTATTTCTTAAGCGGTCTCCAGCTTACAAAGCATTCTAAGAAGTTCTAAGGTGATTGAGAGCTATGATAGCGGCTACTAACTACACAGGTTGCGAAATATTAAGAGAATAACGTATGTGGCTTATGCACTACAAATTTACCCTACACCAAGCACAGCAAGTCCATTCAGGTTGGGCATCGGCCATACAAAACTATCAAAATAAGAGAAACACATGAAAGATACATTGCAAATTTGCAAAATTCCGATTGAACTAGCATACCTTCACAGTAGTGGTCCGAGTCGTCTGCTGAGATATACGCTCGATCAACTGCTTGAAACCTTCATCTGACAGTCTCCCAGCGATTTGGCCACGCCTATGAAAAAAATATTCATTGCAAATGTACAAAACTTAAAACAACCCTAAATTGTTCAATAACACGAAAAGCGTAGCTTTTTAAAAATATCACTCACCGGGCCATATTTATGACTGCATTTTCGACCATTTTAGCCTTTTCAGGCTTTGCGGCTGCGAGGTTACTCAGTCGTACTAATGCTTGTTGATCCAGAATCTTAAGAGGCGACAATATCTTTTAAGCTTTATACTAATGCCTTAACACCTTTGGTGAAGACAATGTACCACAAACCTGGGAGAGCATAGAATTCAACGCATTCTCTTGGTTTTCTGCTTGCTGACGAGCTTGTTCCTGCTGCTTTTCGTCTTGACTAACGCCCTGAAAAAGAAAGTCATAAGTCTTATGCTCTCCACGTAGAGTTACATGGTAAAATGAATTTAAAAATAAACAGGGTGGCGGAAAAAGTAGCGAAACGGTACCTGGAGAGCCGCGCCAGGCGGTAACTGTGGAGCAGTGTTCATGAAGAAGTTGCTGCAATGGCAATGATTGAAAAAAACTAGGAAAAAACGAGGGAGGAGCAAGCCATACCCAATAATGAGTTTCGCCATGATGGTCGAGGGATAAAACGAAAGGAAGAACAATCAAGAGACAGGTTCCACGTGACAAGTCAAAAACACAAACAAGCATCGAAAAAATATCAAAACAACAGTTGACATAGTGCACGGGAACCCTTGCAAGCTGCATAGTCCCTTTTGCGTGCGGTATCACAAAAGATGTTTCCGGTGCAGTAGACTTCATCGTGAGGGATGACTTTGGAAAATAGTAAAGAGAAATAATGGGACACAGCCCTTAACTTAAACCTTGCCAAGGCTTACTGGAAGCAACTTGGCGTAAAGTATACTGTTCAAAACAGGTGATGTGTGTATGGCGCAGTGCTGCAGTGTATTTGACGCCAACTTAAAACTGCATTTGCAAATGAAGCCTTAGGCCAAGCATGGGTGGGAAGTGCCTCTCGCTCCGGTCAAACGTTTGAAGTTGGGGGAAGTACAGCGTGTTCACTGGTCTATCCCCTAAGTATGCCCGTTATGAGCGAATGGATGTGCTCTTGCATGAGGCACAAGACGGATTTCATAGTCCTGTGAATAGGGGGGAGGGGGTTGTTGAGGTTAACAGGGTGTTAAAATCTGACTTCTGCATAAGGCTATGGTTGCATCGCCAGACACTGAAAGCCACCATAGTTTTCCTACCCACCACCCATTATACTTGGGTTTGGAAATACCCCTTGAGTGTATCTACGCTATGTGAAATTTCGACTGAACACGTTGCATTGCAGTTGGGCACTCAAATCGTACATAACTACCCTCCGTAGACAAGTGTTTTCCCATTCATCTGGGATTGCGACAGAATGAGGGTGGCATTGTAATGAAGTGCTACCACAGATGCGCATCTCTGGAAGGCCTCTCAAACTCTTGGTAGATATGACATCATTCAGTCAGTAAAAGTCTGAACTCTGTTCTGGCAGAGCAGATGCGAGTATTCCCATTTGGCTATAAAGCTGACACCCGCTGCAACAATTTCTAGTGTAGACAAAGACTTAGCCACATTCAAATGCTCTACTAGGTTTTGAGATTCCTTGTCGACCCCGTACGTGGCTGTCCATGTCCCATTGGTCTGCAATCATCCAATACAAGATCGTGGAAAAGGGAACGTCAAAACGTTCAAAAATATGGGTAGTTTCTGTTTGTAGGTGGAAAATAGTACATATGGGAGCATACAATAAACTACAAGACCTGCGAGATCGGTACCTAACTAACGCAAGCGGCGATTCCACATGCCCACAATTCCTCGACTCGGTTGTTCCACCATTTCCCAGCCATGAGCAGTAATGTGTCAATTGGTGGCAACGTGTTGTCAACGTTCCATTGTTTTATGTCGATATTTGATCTACGAGCGTTTGAAAAACCAAACTCTTATAGGCAATCCTCAAGCAAACCCCTCTACCTTCTGGGAAGTCCAAAGAGTGGCAGTCCTAGAAAATGGTGAGCCAATTTCTACAATGGTCTTGATCGTTTTATCATAACTACCTTTTAATCTTTTATTTCAGGCATCCCGAAAAAAGGGGCTTTCTTTGGAAGAAAAGCGTGCCAAGATGTTGGAGCTATTTTACGAAAGTCAAGAATTTTTTCAAATGAAAGAATTGGAAAAGGTTAACAGATTCATGTATACTTTATTATTTGTTATTTAAAAATTATTCCTCTACTTGTTACCAGATCGCACCGAAACAAAAGGGTGTAATAGCGCAGTCGGTGAAAGAAGTAACTCAGTCATTAGTCGATGATGGTTTAGTGGAATGCGAAAAAATAGGCACCTTTGTTTGCTACTGGGCATTTCCCTCAAAAGCATTGCAATCTGTAAGTTCGTGTTGCGTTGGACTGGACTGAATTCATTTTCTATTTTATCAGTTGTCATTACTGTCATTATTGAGAGAAAACGGAAGCTGAAAGATCTCGAAGAATCAGTCCGTGATTTGGAGGCGAAAATTAAAGATGGTACGGCGCAGTTAAAGGAGCAGAGGAAGGGGAAGGAGGTAGCCATTTACGAATTCAAATTTGTGGCGGTTGTGGTATATCTTTCGCATATAGTTGTTCTATTTATGTCTTTTAGTTTTCCGTTTGAAAAAAAAAATAGTAATTCAAGGGAAGAACTTGTGGAATAGTTTCCAGTAATCGGAATCTCATCCTTCACTTCCCTTCCATTTGATCTACATCTACATTGCCTTTCATGAAGAGAGAAGTTTCCAAGGATGGGAGAAAAATTGGAGGGAGAGTAGCCTTGTGATCAAGAGGGACCACTTGGAATTTCTTTGATCCACCTTTCTCAGGCTCTTGAAGCACATTACTCCTGGGATGAAGGGTGGTTCTAACATGGGCTTCGTCTGCTGTCCGAGTTGGGTCAGTTATGGCAGACCTTGACAAGTTTTCCGTCGCTCTTAGGACTCGAAGGAACGCACTCAGCTTTTGGAACTTCATGCGAAACTCTTGGAGGAAGAAAATGAGTTGAGTGGTCGTCTCGCTCAGTATGCCGAATATGATCCTGAGGTCATTGCTCAGGTAAAGCAACGAACGGAAAAAGCACGCGATGAGGCTAATCGATGGACAGGTGACTTGAATGTTTATCTGTTTATGTTTTGGGTATCTTCGGAGCTCTTTTTGCGTTATCATTTTCAGATAACATATTTTCCATAAAGAAGTGGTGTAAAACAAAATTTGGAATGGATGAAAAGGTCCTCAATCAGCAGTTTGAAATACCGGAGGACCTTGACTATGTAGAGTGAATTGTAACATTTTCGTTCAACGGAATCGTTTATTTTGATCAAATGCTGCAGGAATTATTAATTTGAAGGCACATTCCTCAATAGGTTTTTTTTGGAAATACTATTGGAAAAATACCCAAGCGCCAGAGGAATGACTGTGACGTGTTACCATAGCGAGAAGCTGGCTGGATACGTCTTTAGGGATCAATCCCATAGGGAATTTTCCCTGGCACTGCCGTTTCTCCGAAGCCCTGAAAGTGGATTTTGTGGGGGAGTCGGTAGTATCCCTTACATTATGTCTTTCGATTTTTTTACTGTTGACCTTCTTGGCGCATTTTCATGCTCTACTATCCGCATCATGAGGTTGTAGAATGTGCCTTGCAACTTGTTGTGTTTCAAACTTCTTTTTTAAAAAGTGTGTATGTAACCAACCCATATGGAATGCTTCCGGTAATCTGTATCATTTATTCATTCATCTATTTGTTGCAGCCTAGTTTGCTTTGTATTCCTGTAATATCCTAGTAATGTAATATGTCTGTAATGTTGTGTTTCTTGTGAAGTTGAATATAATTCTAAACAGTGCTTGATCTGAGGTTTATCCATAGCTCAATGCTTACCTTATTGGTTCACTCTATTAAAAAGACGTACATTCGCCATCTCTACCTCTAGTTGGGAATGTCGTGATGGAGGAGACTGTGCTCCGGTTCCTTACCGGCCTGCACATCCATGTAAAAGAGGAATGGATACGTGCTACGGTTGCTTTTCTGAAGTCACGTGGAGAATCAAGCAAGGTACACTTTTTAAGCACAGATGCAGCGGTATGTGTTGGTTTTTAGGAAAGCGAGATGTGTAGGGCCGTGTTCGAACAATTTCTCCATTCTGATCTTCCTGTTGCATACGAACCACTTGCTAAAGTCCCATCGCTCGCCCTTAGAGCTGTCATTGTGAAACCAATGATCTTTCAGGTACTGTGTCCTTTCGAGATTTTCGGATGATTTTTTCTTGATATTCATGGTATTTGCGAAATGTAGCCAATATTTTATGTTCTATTCGTTATCAATACAACTCGCTCATGTTATGACCAATATTGCGAATGTATTGAGAATATGGACGATTTATCATGGTTTCATGGTGAAGATGACGGAACCATCATGTCTGAGCCTTCGGTGAGACTTTCTTCATCTACTTAGATAGTGGCTGACCCATGAGTTTCATCGCCGGTGTGAGGTGGGGCGGATTCGGCTGCATGCCGAGCAGCACCCTTCATTTTGTTATCGTGGTTAAAGGCAGAAAATCTGCTAAATGTATGAGCACAACATGTATCATTGTGATGGCCGCATTTCTATAACCAGCTGATGTCACATTCCCACCAGTCAGCATAAGTGGCATGGACTACTCGATGTTACAGCAGCTCTTCCTTAATTGGATTATCATAGAATATATCATTTAACAACAAATTTTTCCATTTCTAGGGTAGCGATCAACGTATAAAAAGCTCAGGACCTCGCAGACTACTGAAGATGAAGCTCTCTGACGGTCAGAATGTAGTGCATGCTATAGAATACGGTGGAAATGTATGCCATTTGTATACTTCGATAACATGCCCGAAAAGCCCTGACTTTCTCGTTTTAGTTGACTTTGGACGAAAATGCATTGCCAGGAACCAAGGTTTGATAATCGGTCTCTACTTTCTGCTCCTTCCAGCAGTTTTACTACTCTTGCAGATACTTTTGACAGCCAGGGTTCTTCTTCGAAAAGGTATTTTGCTGCTGAATCCAGCAAACTGTCAGGTGGGAGTAACACTTGAGCATAACGAGTAATGTGCAATTTCTCATTGACTATAGTGAATATACTTGTAGTGCTTATTTAACGAGGCTTTCAAATGCGTACATGACCGACAAAATGACTTGTGAGGTCACCAATTTGTCTACTTACTGAAAATCCTCTTTTAGGTGTTGGGAGGTGAAAATGGGAAGCCGCTTAATCTTGCTCTCCAGTTCGCAGAACGCCTAGGCATCAAACACGATGTGAAAACAAACTGGTAAGTTTGTCAGACGACTCTTAACTTTTGTAGAGAGAGTGTCTTTTCAGTCGCATTGTTCCGGATGTTCCATCTGCACTGCCGTTACTAATGAAGTCAGAAGAGCAGAAATGTAAGGATACCCGGAAGAGCTCATTGAAGTGTGTGGTCGTTTTTGTTAATTTAAATAGTATGACTAATGTTTCACAAAGTACTGTTGAAAATAACCCGCTTTCGCTTCCTGGTTCCTGAGATCGAGTTAAATGGAATGAAATCACTGATATGGACAGTTATTGGTCCACTGGTAACCCAGCAACTTCTAATTTGGAAATTGATAGTCATGAGTTTTCCTTTCAAGGCGTTGTCACAACGAGACTGTGATGGCTTTTCCAGCGTGTCGACCATTTCCCCATTTCTTGTGCGCATCCCGCGAATACCAGATCAGCTCTTGCATAATCCAGAAACTGACGCTCAGAAGACGGATATTACGGTCAAGAAAGAGGTTTTTAGTTTGGCAATTCTCCGGAATGCTTTCACATTTAACATCCTTTGCAGATATGTGATGGCGAGAGAACGGCAGTTGTTCCACCACTCCGAATTTTGCCCTTAAGTACAATGCCGCAGGATGAGAAAGTCGAGGAAGCGAACCAATTGGATAGCTCACCAAGTGAGCAGAAAATGTTTACGGCAATTCCTACTCGACTATGTACTACTTGGTTTTCAATTAAATTTGTTTCTTCATTCACTTTATAGGATGTAATGTGACGCCACCTATGCGGAAGAGATTGTTATTGCCACTGCAGAATTCTGGAGTTTGTTCCGACTCGTGTCCATCGGGTCCATTGGAGGTCTTTTCCTCATTTCATTTTTAATCCTGTCATCAAAACATTATTGGGTTATTACACAACTAAACTTTGTTTAAGAGCTTTCAGCGTTTCCCACTGGACCAACTGAACGAACCATTTACATCAAGACCAAGTTTATGCTTTATAATTTTCAGGACTTACCCATTCCTTCGGGCGGGTTGAAAATAATACGTCACAAAGTTGCGCATCCTATTCAGCGAATGCATGAGAACCCCATTCAGTGAGTTTTACTTGAAGTTTCTGCCCACTGTCAGTACCTCTCAACGAGTGATATCGGTTGAACTGAGCGTTTTCATTTATGAAAAATTCCACATGCATAACAGCTCAATGAAGTGCAGTTTTCTACCTGCGAGTAGTCACGCACAGATTTTCTACAGTGTAGTTTTGAGCAGTGTACTGAAATTTCTAGTCTTCTCTGAATGAGGGTTCAGTTCTGACCAGTGAGTGGTGAGTAGTTGAGGAGTCGGCTGCCATTGGCAAGCGTCAGCCAGTTGCCTGTAACATTGTGGGCAGCTCGAGGAAGTATGCCAACATTTCCTTCCCGTAACAACATTATATTAATGTTTCTACTGGAAGTTTTATGTATTTCATTAATCTTTTACTTTATCACCATTAACTAGAACACCCCTTAACTTAAACTGG